GGTTTAGGATTAGGTTTGGGGGGGTTAGGGTAAGGTTTTCGCTTTATTTTTACATTTATCGATCACAGCGCGATGTTTTCGTCGCGCTGTGATGATGTCACATACGCGCTTTCGTCGAGCACGATTTTGTCGTCCGTGGTTTTGTGGTGGAACCCTCCAGAACTTGTCAGAACTGGCTGAATACCACAACTGGGTCCACTGGGGAAAGGCGTTTTCCCCTTGCTAAAATGGACCATCCGCCCTGGCAAACAGCCTCCTCACTAATGCTCTTAATTTAGGTGTGAATTACATCACACCGTTTTTTCTTATGGCACCTAGAATTCAATTTCTCTCATCCTTTATTATTTCAACAGGGATAACTTTTTGCATTGTAAAAAGTGGCGGCTGCGTCTCAGTAAAATCAATACGAAGCAATGTCAAGAAGAAAAATCAGCGAAAGCAATATTTCTTCCATGCACAAGAGATATTTAAACAATGGGAGGTCTTCGAAGGAATTTTTTTTAATTAAAAAAAACTTTCCTATCTATTTGGGCCCTTCAGGACAGTGTTTCTCAATTTAGGGACTTGAAGATGTGTGGACTTTAACTCCCAGAACTCTCCACTCAGCTTAATTGAATTGTGGGAATTGAAGTCCATGCCTCTTAAAAGTTTCTGAAATTGAGAAACACTGCTTCAGAAACAGGCAGTTGTGTGCATTGAGTCACATGATGAAAAGTGAGCGATTTTCCACTTCAAAAATCAAGAAAACCAATTTACATGTCTGTATCTAAGCAAGCATGGCAGTAGAAAACACAGCTGTCAAACAGACATATATTTTTTTTGCAACCTGTAAAAAAAAAAAGACCTCTGAGTGTGCTTATTTTTGGGTATGACCTACACACAGCCTGACGGTTATCTGCATTTTCTGCTGCTCCACAAGCAAGCTTTTAATCCCAGTGGACCAGCAATGTAGCTAGAAACACCAGCAGAGATAAAGGAGTCTTGGATGCTCCATGGTTCACTTGGGCACTTAATCTTTCTGGATCGTGTGGCATATTGTGTCTTGCCAAAGTTCCCGAGGGGCCACCACACTGGAGAAGAGGAGATTGGTAAGAGGTGGGCCGCTTATTGAGCATGTTAGGACTTGACCCATCGGTTGGTCTCTCACCAATAAAGAGCAGGCTCCTGTCTTTTCCATCTCGTTCGAGGCGAAAGAGTTCATACTCGGAGTGGGGGAGCTTAATACCTAGGGCCGCGCACCCATTGGTGTGCGTCACATCTAGCTCTTGCCCAATGTGCCAAGATCCAGCCTCTCCACAGCTCCCAAAATCAGAGGAGTTCAGCATGGACACGGTGACCTGATCCATAGGGGTCACCCGAGCATGAGTGACCTTGAAGACCAGCTCGGTGCCTCCTCTCACGATGCGGGAGGGTGCTCCCTCATTGTAATGACCCAAGGCGTAGACGGTGAATGTTGGTTGCTTGCAGAGAGGGTCAGAGTAGTGGTGATAGTAGCCTTCCCAGCTACGGTTGTTGGCATGGAAGATGAAGTACCTGGTAAGAAAAAGCACCGCTGGGCGGACTTCGCAGCGAGAACTAACCCAATGGCCGCTCAACAGCATAGGAAGCTCAGGTCTGGCTGGTAATACTGGCGGGTTATGTTCGTCAGCTCTGTATATCACTCCACAGGCAGGGCAAGGATGGATGTGGTGCTGCGGAAGGAAATGACAGCAACATTTTAATTGCATTGTTAATGTTTCCTATCATGGAGAGAAGACCTTACAGTAGCAAAGATGAGCCTCTGTTTTAAAGACAAATCTGAAGCAACAGAGGGCTTTTTAGCTGTTGATGAATTGGTGATGTGCAATTGAAATGCGATTAGTGTTTTATATGTGATGCACAGATGGAGCTTTGATCACCCCTGCACTAAACTAATTCACAACAGCCTTTTCCACAATGGTCAATGCTGAGGAATGCTGGGAGATTTCATTTAACAGAGTTGAACGCTAAAAAAACCCCTAAAGTATGAAATATTAACAGAGCTTGGTTTGAACAAGAGGCAATGAAACTTCCCCAGACGGGCCAAAACATTCTTCACTTCCCTAATTCTAGCAGATAATTTGTATTAATATATGTATTTATTTATTTATTTTAATTTTAATTTTATTTATTTATTCAGGGCTAAAACGCTGACAATCAGAAAGGTTGGCAGTTTGGTGGTTCGAATCCCTAGAACCACATAAGGGAGTGAGCTCCCGTTACTTGTCCCAGCTTCTGCCAACCTAACAGTTCGAAACAGTGCTGGGTTGCAGGCTGTACAATCTGGTACGGGCGTACCGGAGCCTGCCCAGAGCACCGGGTACCATTCTGGTACGGTGCTCCGGAGGGCTCGCCCACCTGCTCGAGCTCCTTACCTGTCATTTAAAGCCTTTGGTGCTTCTGCGCACAGCACGTACAGCACCTGCGTGATGCTCCACCGAGCAGTGGAGCGTCACCGAAGCGTCGCTGAGAGGTACAATGCATGCATGCACCACGCGTGCATGCCACGCGTGTCCATGTGGGCAACACTGGGCCTGTTCTAACCATACTGGTTGGAACGGGATCTGGAACTCGCCACTGGTTTGAAAGCACATAAAAATGCAAGTAGAAAAATAGGAACCACCTTTGGTGGGAAGGTAATAGCGTTCTGTTTGCCTTCGGCGTTTAGTCATGCCAGCCACATGACCACGGAGACGTCTTTGGACAGCACTGGCTTTTCAGCTCTGAAACGGAGATGAGCACTGCCCCCTAGAGTGGGGAATGACTAGCACATATGTGCAAGGAGAACCTTTACCTTTTTTTATTCTCACTACCCTCAAAATAAAACATTTCTTGACTGTTCCAAAGCCAAAATATGTAAATTGCTTAAGGTTTACTGAACTTTGTAGGAAGAAGTTTGTCACGCAGACATATGCTGTATGTTTGATATCATGAATTTGTTAAGCTAATAAACATAACAAAATGCCATGGGTCTGAATTCAGTAGAAATTAAAACCTCTGAATACCAACCACTTCAAGACGATTGTCTTAATGGACAAAGTAATATGATGCCTGCATATTGACCTGTTTCCTTTTGTCTGCTGAATTCCAACTCTCCTATTTCCAAATCGGCCCAAGTAAACGATAGTTGTTGTAGTGAAACACGTCTACAAAACACCAGCTGGGAAGGCTGATTTCGAAGTCATCTTATAAAAATTTGTTTGTTTGTTTTAATTCACAACAAGGAAGGGTGTTTTTCTAACATTGTTGATCTGGGGAATTATAGCTAACTATGTTACGTAGTTGTTCAAATCGTTTCTGGTCAGCATTAGACATTAACTCCTGTTCTAATTATCATAGTGGGCACCAAAGGATTTATGACGAATGATACCTGTTTTTGTAAGCTACGAGCTGTTCTATACGGTTGATCTTGAGAGACGCCAGCCTTGTTTGCATGGGAAGGAGATTTAAATAACACTGTACTTAACACCAGGGCAATTTGACGTGTTGACTGAAGTCTGCTATAATTGAAACATTTTTAACCATCTTATTGCAACTGTCATTCTAAGGAGCATTGGTGCTACAGAGTCTGTAATAACTAAATAGCCCAGTAGTTACTGAAATATGCATGTTCCCTTTTAAAGCAGGAAATTCTTTAATAATGTAAGATAATTTCCCCAAAATAGGAGACAGGGTTTTTTTTTGCGTGTGTGATAAAATAGGCACGGATTTGGGGAAAATCAAAGAGCTATTTTATATAGAAGCAATTTGGGTTTCGGTTTGTTTGTCTATCTGTATTGATATGGAAATGGATGGATGGATGGATGGATGGATGGATGGATGGATGGATGGATGGAAGGAAGGAAGAAATAACAGTCCTTAAGAAGTTTCTGCTAACAACTAGTATGGTGGAAGGCAATGGATTTTCCTCCAGATGTAGGAATACCCTAGTTCAACAAAATTCAAGGAAAATCAGAGGTGGTATTCAGCCTGTTCGGACCAGTTAGAGCGAAACGCTAGTGGAAATTTTGAGTAGTTTGGAGAACCGGCAAATACCACCTCTGGTT